CCCTGCAGCGGCAATCGACAGCCGAGGACCGAAGGATTCCCGGGCGGAGCGACGGAGAGAGGCAGGACGGCTCGCGGTCCTCCAGATTGGGTTTTATTATTACTATTTAAATAGCGAACAGAACTGCAGCGATTCGTTTCCTCCCAATAGGAAGCGCTCATACGGGGATCCCCCTCCTTCCCGGGTTAAAGGCCCAGGAGGCTGCTTTTTAATTTTATGAGCTCATTTGGGCTAGTTAATAACGCAGCCCGCGCCAGACGTCGCTCATCCTGGACTCGGCATCACCTGCAACCTTCAAAAAAAGGGGCAGGAGCCCGGCGGCAGCCCAAACCCTCCCAGGACGCTTCCAGGGAGCGGAAATCCATCAGTCTCAGGAAGAAATTCTCTTGAGAGATCGGTGCGCCTTTCCCCTCTGTACCTTCAATGGAACACGGAATTTGTCTTCACACGGACAAATTCCGTGTTTCATTATTACTCGCGTACTTGTTTCATTTGTTATTTGCGAGTCAGGGCTCCGAAAGGTCAACTAAGGTGATTTCCAGGTAGTTGTGAGCCTTGATGGTGTTCTTCCCACCTCCCGTTCTCTCCCTTTTAAAAAAAATTAACACGGCTCTGTTTATATTCTTCTTTTAATCCCCGAACTCTAATTGGAATTTCTACTTAGTCTTGATGGCCCAGTGACGCAACCTGGAAGGCCTCTCTCTGTATCCGTCTTTGTATTGTCTCTCACAGCTCATACGGAATTTTGCAAAACAAAGCGGCTTGCGGGGCTCAGATACTATCTCTCTCTTATTTCACCTCAGCCCCTGTGTAAGCTGTGTGCGAGATCCCCTTCATTCATTCATTCATTCATTCATTCATTCATTCATTCATTCATTCATTCATTCATTCATTCATTCATTCATTCATTCAGTGCGTCAGTCACACTTTTTCTTCGCAAAAGATTGCAACGCCACAAGTTTGGCAGATAATGAATGTTTCTCCCTCAGGGCTCCTCTCCTTTGGCAAAAGCTGAGGCCCAAGTTTTGAGCTGCCCGCGTTACTATTGAGCCACACTCGCCCTCTCCCATTCTGGAGAAACCCTGATCTTCCTTGGCTTCCCCCCAAACAGACGAGATCGGAAGAGACGTGGTAACCTCTTCAGACGTTCACTGATCTTCTCGATGCCAGGATCACAGATATTGAAACAAAATGCGTGGCTTCTCCCGGGAAAAACAAAGCTAGACCAAGTTACTAGACGAGTCAAGCTGAATCCCAAGAGAATTTTGGGGAGTCTCCTTTCCAGACACTGGCGCTTACACTAAAGAAGGAAGCGCACATTCCTGCTAATCGTTCACGGTCTCACAGCCCATGGCAAACACGTTCACCATCAGCTTGCGTTGACACACACTTCAGAGACATGCTTGAGGAGAAATATCATTGACCTTTGAAAATGCTACCCAGCCCCACGGCCAGAATCAGACGGTGGAAGGGTGAAAAGACATGCATTCCGATACTACGCCATTTCTCTCCTTTTTTGGGGGGGAGGGGGGAAGCAAGGCAACCACGGTCTCATAATTTCTTTCCACAAGAAGGCGAAGAACTTTCTTTTCAGGCAAGCTTTCCCTGAGTATCTGACTGGCTATTTGTGTTGGTTTTTAAATGGATTCTTGTCCCTTGCTGCTTTGACTGTGTTTTGGTGCTGCTTATGTTTTTTAGTATGTTGTTTGTTTGATCTTTTTTAGTATTTGTATACTCACTGTAGTCGTCCTTGTTTAGTCGTTAAGTCGTGTCCGACTCTTCGTGACTCCATGGACCAGAGCACGCCAGGCCCTTCTGTCTTCCACTGCCTCCCAGAGTTGGGTTAAATTCATGTTGGTTGCTTCGATGACACTGTCCAACCATCTGGTCCACTGTCGTCCCCTTCTCCTCTTGCCTTCACACTTTCCCAACATCAGGAAATCACTGAGTGTTCACTGGAAGGACAGATCCTGAAGCTGAAGCTCCAATACTTCGGCCATCTCATGAGAAGAGAAGACTCCTTGGGAAAGTGAGGTATCACTACTCACTGTAGTACTGTAGTTAGCTTTAAATACTGCCTTTTAATAGTGTGAGCCGCCTTGGGTCCTCTTAAAAGAGAAAGGGTTAAAATAAAATAAAATATTGCAAGCCATTTTATGTCCGGTTAATTTCCAGTCTGTTAATTTCCAGTTAGCAAGGGAGAAGAAAACACGACGCAAACAAGTGTTTGCAGCTCAGATAGCGGAAAACCCACGTGCTTTGGAGCACACCTTCCCGCGGAAGTGCTCACTCCCTTCAATGAAAGGAGCAACTCTACTCCTAAGGATCAGGGCCTCCCTTTCCCCCTCCTGCAGTCCCGCCTCCCCCTTAAACCCTCTTCAACTGAAAACGCTTTCCCGACAAGGAATGCTGGAACTCGATCCTTCCAAAGCTTAGAACCCTTCCGACTGCAGCCCACGTCCCTTCTTGGAGGTGTCGATAACTATATTTTAAAAAGGAACCAGGATTAAATGTGTGGGTGGAGGCTGGCCAATCGCCCTCTTGCGTGCCTATGTTCCCCTCTCCTTTTTATATATGTAGTCCCAAGAATACTGGGCGGGGGTGATGGAGAGCGTCACCCCAAAGCCAGCGAGCCGTTTGGGGAACGACCGCCGCCCCGTTCCTCTCCGTTTCTTGTGTGGCTAAATGTTCTTCTCCAGCATCAATCCAGACGGGCCTTCAGAAGAAAAGGATGCTCGGAGGTATATTAATGCAATAATACACAGCCGCCCAGAAGGCGTGTCTCCTGAAAGAAGCCTCATTGACTTCGCGAGGGTCTCAGGAAGATCAGCTCCACCACAGACGTCTGCCAAGGCCGCGCTTTTGATTAGTTTCCAGGCCTCCACTTACGTCCTCTTAAGGCAGGCCTTGGACTCCTCTCTTTAGCGCTGGATGGGCGGCTTCACTTCCTTCAGACGCTGTCCATAAAACCCTGATCTCGCCGCCTTGCGGGATCACGACGCGGATCCTAGGAGCGGGTCGAGCCTCGGCCTCACTCTTTCCACCAGTCACCCCCCCCCCATCCAAGGGGATCCAAGGCAGCCCACGGTCGCGGCCCTGCCAGGGGTGGGAACCAAATAAACCGGGGAAGAGGTTATTCTCTGCCGAGTTTTATACAGGCAATAGGCCTTGTTAAAAGGAAGTTTCAATAGCCGACTTATTACATTCCTGGGCTGATGCATAACACCAGCGAAAAGGGGG